CCCCAAAACCCCAAAACCCCAAAACCCCTCAAGGGAAAAATTAAAAAAATTCATAAATTATATTAATGTTGTTGATAAAGTGAATATTAAAATATAAATTTTTCCAAAATTTAGTGAATGGTGGATAATATTGGACCTATCATTAGTAAAAAAGCAAAAAAATTCTTAACATTTTATTAGACCATTTGAAGCACTCCTTCTAAATGGGAGTTACTCGAAACGTAGAATGGAGGAAAAATCAGCTACGATAACTTAAAAAAGGGATTCAAGAAATGACTTTTTAGATGACTGAGGCTGTAAAAAAAGATTTAGGGAAATCAGCCTTTGTTACTTGCTTAACCTTCTTATTTGAATCATTTCAAATTTTATAAGTTATTGGACTGAAATAACATCAATTTATCCATGTGCCTCAGATATTGATTTTACTCTCAGTCATTTAGACGAAGTATAATTATAGCATTTTTTTGATTTTTTTAGTTCGTCAAAGTTGTCAATTTAGATACCCCTTTACAATTTTCACCAAGTAGCACTAAAATTATATATGAACCACTTGGAGTAGTATTAATATATGGGTCCTGGAACTATCCTTTTGTTGTAACTCTGAAACCCCTTTACTAAGCAATAGCTTCAGGCAATTGTGCCCTTATAAAGCCATCTGAGCTTGCTCCTCACTCTAGTGCTGTTATCAAGCTTTTAGTTTAGAGATATCTCGATGAATCATGTTATGACGTCATTGAAGGAGGACCAGAGGTTGCTGTTGAAGTTTAAAAACACAAATTCGATTTGATATGCTTTACTGGATCATCACAAAAAGGAAAATTAGTTGCGTAAGCAGCTGCTGAGCACTTGACTCCTTGTATCTTAGAACTGGTGGTAAATGTCCAGCTGTTGTAGATGAATCAGCAAATATAGATTTAGCCGCAGCTAAAATTTCATTTGCTAGGTTTAACAACTCTGGATAGACTTGCATTGCAACAGACTATGTACTTGTTCATGACTCAATATAGGATATATTTATCAAAGCATTAAAGAATAAGCTTGACTACTAATATGGTTACGACCAAAATGGAAATCCATGGATGGGAAAAGTAGTTACTGAATGGCATTGTGAAAGACTTTAGAATTTAATTGAGACTTCACAAGGGGAAATAGTCTGTGGAGGAAAAGTGAAAAAGGACTTAAAGTTTGTTGAGCCTACTATAATTGTAAATCCTAAAAGCGATTCTGCAATTATGGAAGAGGAGATTTTCGGACCTTTACTACCCGTAATTACTTACAGAAATATTGATGAAGTCATAAACTTTATCAACCAAAAGGACAAGCCATTGGCTCTGTATTACTTTGGAAAGTATTTCAGAAATGAAAATAGAGATAAACTGGTGAGAGAGACGAGTAGTGGATCGTTTGTGCAGAATGATGTGCTTATTCACATGCTTAACCATGAATTCGGATTTGGAGGAGTAGGTTTCAGTGGATATGGAAGATACGGTGGGTATGAGGGATTCAAATGCTGGTCGAACCCAAAGAGTGTCATGTACAGACCAGCGCTTAATTTTAAGCCATTAAATTCATTCTCTCCACCATTTGATCTTTAAAAATAAAGACTACTGAGAAAACTTTTGAAAATTAAAGGCTCTTAGACTAAAGTGATTGGTTTTACTATAGCATTTTTAGTAATTGCTATTGTAGCTATTATTGTTGGAGTTCTCAATCAGGAGATTCACTCAGTTATTAAGGATGGTTGTAGAGAAATTTTAGACTGAATAAATTGATAATTATAGCAATGATGCTTTTGAAAATATTAAATCTTTCTTAGAAATCAATCTTTATCAATTTAATAATTTAATATTTGGATATTTCTATTGCATGGGGTTTTGGGGTTTTGGGGTTTTGGGG